CGCTCCCCCCCTCCCTCTCCCTCTCACTCTCTCTGCCTCTCTCTCTCTCTCTCTCGCTCTCTCTCGCTCTCTCTCGCTCTCGCTCTCTCTCTCTCTCTCTAGAATGTTTTGTCTCGGCTCGTCTGAGATCACCGTGTGACTCATGCTGCTTAAAGCATAGTGTAAATCTCTGGTGTAAAGATGCCATGTTTTCTCTTGAGACACACATACAGTATATACATAGACATGTGCACATATATAGACACGCACACTAATTCTCAGCACTTACAACATTATATGAGACAGTCTGGAGCTCCGTCCAGGATGAAACTAATCCTTCTCTCACATTTATTTGAATATTACCATATAGACATGTTACTTTGAAAGAAAAATTAATTTAATTTATTATATTTTTATCATAATTAATTTATAAAATATATATTTTACATATGTCGGTGCAGCAGGCTGTTGTCATGGAAACTCAGGTTGTCTGCATGTGTTTGTGTTGTGAATAAGCACAAAACAGATTGCTATTAATTCAGAAATGCTGTACAGAATAAAGAGTGTGTTTCTTTCTGTCTCTCAGGGAGCATCAGCTTTGTTCGATATGATCGAGTACTATGAATCCGCCACTCATCTCAACATCTCCAGCAACAAGCACATCGGCACACGCGGCTGGCAGGCCGCCGCGCACATGATGAGGAAGGTGAGGCTTGAGTTACGCTCAGTTCACACTGTTATGAAGAGTTGATCTCCTCATCTTGTCTGTGTGCCTCCAGACGAGCTCTCTGCAGTATCTGGACGCCCGTAACTCGCCGCTGCTGGATCATTCAGCTCCGTTCGTGGCCAGAGCTCTGCGGATCAGCGGCAGTCTCACCATCCTGCACCTGGAGAACGCCGGCATCTCAGGACGACCGCTGATGCTGCTGGGTAATGAAAGAGAGGAAAAAAAACACTCTGGACATTAACCCTATGAAACCTGCTGTGTCATATTTAATGCACAAAACTTTAAAGTGCACCTATTGTGGGTTGACAGGTTGACATGCATGCAAGGTCAAAAAAACACTTTCATTGTCTTATAATATGCATTTATTGTTTACCTTACTTGCTCAACTTAACTTTATACACAGCGCACTTTCAGATTTAAAACTTGGCAGGATGTTTTCATTCACTTAGAGCTGTGCTGCATGAAAGGCAATTTTCAAAAATCCATAATAGGGGCACTTTAAATGATCAACATTATCAATTTTGCTGATAAATGTGTTTATCTACTCCATGCCTGATTGACATTTTATAGTTTTTAGCTAGTAAAAGGAATTTTAATATAATTGTACAAACATCCACCTTTAGCTTGTTTATGCTGTGATTTGTTTGCTTTAAATGCAAGAATAACTTAATTCAAATTCATAATTACACTTACTAGACTGAAGCAAATTTGGGTAACACTTTACTATAAGGGTGCATGAATAATCATGTACTAATACCTAAATCAATGCTTAATTTGTCATGTACTAATGATTATTAAAGGTGTTAACTAATCATGAACTAATGAAGAGCAGCCCTAATAGTCATATGGATTCACGCATGAATAACGGCAGCCTTGTTAGTACATGTTTAATAGTTAATGCATTAATTAACATTTATAGGTAAACTAAATCAAACGGCCTCTTTAAGAAGGAATAAGAAGTACTCTGACTTTGAAATAAATTGAAACGCTTACCCTTTATTTTAAGGTGTCCTTGTTACAGTGTAATACATTTAAGTACTAACTACATGTACTTTCTATATGGTTAGGGTTACTTGCATGTAATTATGCATTATTTATTGTTATCGTAATAGTAAGTGCATGTAACACGTGTAACAAGGCCACCTTAAAATAAAGTCTTACCATTTAAACAATTTAATTCTATCATAATTTGAGCTTTTGACATCTGCAGCTTTGTTGGGTGGCAAATGAATCGTTGATCCTCCTCACCAAGCGTAGAAAATGCTAAATACACTAATAACTGATCTTTTCTGTTTTGTGTTGTTCTCTTTCCCTGCTGCAACTTATACGCAACTAAAGACAAAAAAATAAACACTCAAAACCCACATTTGTAGAACGATTCCTAAAGAAATGACTAGAAACTAGAAACGCACTGCAGGTAAGGTCAGAACGTTTGCTGGGTATCGGTACAGTTCACGCTCCATCCAGACACAGGCCGTGATGATACTGTACCTCCGCGCTCTGACTTCTCGAAAAGCCTCACGACATCTCTTAATTGGGCTCAATACTCGTTGGGTTAGTACATGTGTGTTTGATATTAAGCATAAAATAAATGTATTAAGCAGTTAAGAGTGAATTAATTATGAGTGGGGGCCCCTCAAGTAAAGTCATGGCAAAATAATGCATTAACAAGCCACGAGTTGATGTCGGTGTTGTTAATTACAATGGGCCCCTCGAAGTAAAGTTATCCATTTTCTCAAAATGAAATGTGAATGCAGCAATTAAAAGGCAGTTTGTTTCATACGTGTGTTCAGCCACAGCACTAAAGATGAACATGAACCTCAGAGAGCTGTATTTGGCCGAAAACAAGCTGAGCGGTCTGCAGGACTCGGCCCAGTTGGGGAATCTGCTGAAGTTCAACTACAACATCCAGATTCTGGACCTGAGAAACAATCACATACTGGACTCAGGTGTGACCTCTTGCTCCGTATCGTCCTGTTATTGGTCTCCTACTTCAGTAGTGTTTGGACTCGTCGTTCAAACCGCTGTATTTGCTTTTGCTCGTGTCCTCAGGGTTGGCGTATATATGTGAGGGTCTGAAGGAGCAGAGGAAGGGTTTGGTCACTCTGGTGCTCTGGAACAACCAGCTCACGCACAATGGCATGGGATACCTGGCTGCCGCTTTGGTAAACACACACACACACACACACACTGTGTCACAAAAGTTTCCATGAGCAAATCCACATCTTTAGGGCTTATTCAAACCAAGAGCAACGGATTTAGTCCCAGAACTATTCACACCAACTATTTGATGCAAATTCGTTTGTAACAAGTGTGTAAACCTGAAAGAAATGGGGGTTACACTTCATTTTAAGGTGTCACTGTTACAGTGTAATTATGCGATCAAGTACTAAGTAGGGGTGGGGGAAAAAGTCGATACAGCATAGTATCGCGATATTTCCCGCAGCAATACTGTATCGATACACGGACGCCAAGTATCGATCTTTTATTATACTAGTTGGTAGAATAATAAAATCAATTTCTTTACAATCCACTATATGGTGGTGTTGAGTTTTTTTCTGGTGAGGTCAGCTGGGTCACCTTCAGCATGAAGTAAGTTGGTAAAATAAAGAGGGCGGCATTCAGGAAAGCCCTGTCCCTGTCTCAAGCAAAGGGAACGTTTTTATTTAACTTTAACATTGCAATTTTATATAATGGATACGGGTTGTAAGGCTTTTCTCTACATTCCAAATTAAATAAATAAATTTTAATTAATTAAAAAAACTTTAAAAATTAGGGACAGCATATGTAAATTCAATATGATGTATTTTGAATTTTGCACTGCATTGTGTTTTAGGTTTATCGGAAAACACATTAAAATGAACCATGATTTTATTACACTAACCTTTTAACCATACATTTGTAGTTAAACTGTGGGTTAAAAAAAATTA